ATAAGGAACAGGTATTTTTCATCAAGTATTGATATGTTGAACTTTAAGTCCCTACATAATATGATAAAAACATTTAAAAATTAGATTATATTTTAAAAATAGGATAAAGAATTCTATGCTTCTCATGTTTGCACAGAAGTCCAAAAATCTCACCATATCCAACCTTGAAGTAGGACAGTCCCACAATATGGAATTGTTTTCTTAACAGCAGTGCTTGGTGATTAATAACTGGACAGCTGAGCCTACTGTCTAAGCGTCAACTAGTTGACAACTCATAGAAAACAGGTGATTAGAAAATGTAATTTTGTAACTGATTGAGAGGAAATCTGTGGCAGAGTTTTAAAGAGATATTTTTCAGGAACTAGAATTATAACGCTATTTAGACTAAATAGTTTGGTTAGAAGAATTTCTCATTCAACAGCTTTGGGAGAGTCTAGACTCAAAATTCTCAGATAATTTTTCAAAGGGTGGTTCATGGGAAGCTGTGTCAGCGTCACCTATGGGTCTGTTTGGCCATGGGGTCACACTCACCTGAGAATAGCTGACCATTTGAAAACTGTACATTAAGGAAACTTTCTGGGTGACTCTTAAGAACACAAGAGTTTAAAGGCCACTGATGAATTTACACTTCTGCAGGATTTTTTAATCCTGAACCAAGCAGCCGTGAAGGATCTTCTAGGCGCCTTCTTACCTTTGGTTGAAATTGAAGTGCCCCGAGGCCTGGAGAGGGACAAATTGCAGCGAAACAGCTTCTCCAAGTCACCAGTGAAATTTGAACTTCTGTGACTTCCTTTACGGAAGCCATGACATGACTGTGATTTCCACTCTCAATTCCTGGCTGTTTATGACAGCTCATAACACTTCTATTGAGATTTATTACTATAGCAGAGTTTTTCCACTGAAACAGAAAAGTTGGCTTGTCAGAAAAGAAAGAATGAAATTTAATGAATAATGAAAAGAGATCAGACAAATGTTGCTGCCATTGATACACGGCACATCAACCTTTACTCCTTTGGTTATTAAGCTGCACACTGTCTGTGCTCTCAGCCCTGCTGACAAAGGCAGAGAAGTCAGGACTCGCAGGGTGTGGCTGCGCCTCACACAGGTGAGCTATGCTGTGTGTGAGGTGCTGACTTATTTTCCAGCGATCAGGCAATGTAAAGGTTTCATTTCTTGAAGGTTTATAGTATCAGTGACGTGAGATTACTGTGGCTCAAGCTGAATAAAGTACTTATGGGTATAATTCCTCTTCCAAGCCAAGATCATTCTGGATTTTGTTGAACGGTTCTTAACAAAAAAATCTCAGACCCAGTTAAGAAATTTGAAATGTATAGTTTATTCTTTGACTTTCTGCCCCAGGCTCCCATGTATCTTTTTTCCCTTCTTTACATTTTTTTTTTTTTCTTTCTGAATAGGAATGAATCGCTCATCTTTTCATTCAAAAAGCTAACATGTCATGTTTTCCAGTAAATACATTTTAGTATTTCAGTGTTGATCAGTTAGTTCATAGATAAATTGTGAGAAAAAAAGAAAGATTTCCTAGGTTCTGTATTTTATTTTATTTTATTTTTTGATATTTTTTCCTTGTTTTTTTTCATTTATTACTCTTTTTTTTTTAAACATTTACTTGATAGACAGTATGGCAATAAGTGATGATATGTCATGACAAGCAGTATGTATTTAGAAGACCAGAATGACAGGCATTCCAAGCATGACCCTTCTATTACATATTGCTATCTTCAGTGCAGTTGCTTAGTTCACAGGTATCAGCATATATAGTTAGTCAGGGTGGGTTCTGTATTTAAAAAAAAATATGTTTGCTCTTGCCTCACTGTACTGGTTGCAATGAAAATCATCATTTTCCTTTTTCTGTCTTTATGGTGCTGGTGATTGAACCCAGAGCCTTTATATTGAGCTGCATCTTCAGGCCCTTCCCCCCTTTATTTGTCACTTTGAGACAGGGTTTCTCTAAGTTGCTAAGTTGTCCAACCTGGGCGGGACATTTCCAAGCCTTAGCCTTCCAGAGCCACAGGCATGCACCGCCATGCCTGGTCATTATTTCTAACAACAACGTTTTTCTACTCATCATAAAATTTATACTACTTGTAATAAAGTTTTTACCACTTTTAAATTGTATTTTAAATTGATATTTTAATAAGATTTTAAGAATGTTTTTAAATTTAAAAAAGCAATGCAAAAATTATTGCTGATAACCAGCAACATCTCTCTTTTTGGTACCAGGAATTGAGCTCAGGACCTTATGCTTGCCAGGCAGGTGCTACGTCACTGAGCTATATCCCTGGCCCTCTCTTTGATAAAATATTATTATGTCACTTCTAAGTTTTTTCTCTGATGATAAATGGATATTTGAGACTTATTCTACTTTGTATAAGGAAGTAGTCAAGTACCATAAATATTTTTCACTTTTTTAGGGCCAGGTTGGATGAGGAGTGATATGCGTCTTTGGGAGGCTGGGGCATTTTGTGTCAAGTGACTGAGTTTAGTGAATTCTACTAAATATCCCAGAGGCACACTTTTGTAAAGACTTGGAGATATTCTGTGACTTCCAACATGTACGGACTTTGATGAACTATCTTTTAAAAGTAGAGAAAAAAGCTGCTTTTGTAGTTTGTACTACAACAGTTAATGGATGTCACAGCTTAATTCAAGGTATTATTCCCTATAGCAACCCTTCCACTGTCCAACTCAAGTCAATTTTCAGTTCCAGAGTTCACTAATCTTTTATGCCACTTATGTTTAGTCAAAATATTTCATTAATGGGTTTAATACAAAAGTAGGCAGAGTATATATTTTTTTCATGCAGAATAAGCTACTATTAATAAGCTGTAATATTTCTCTTAAACTATGGCATATATCTTTTATGCAATATATATTTTTTATGAAAGATATGTATCTATATATATATGTGTGTGTGTGTGAGTTTAAAATTTAGAGTATACTGAAATTTGCCAAAAGTAAAACTTTATATCAGCTTTTTTGTTATTTAATTTGCTTTAAATTCTTTCTTTGACCCAGAACAAGATATTAATTTTCAGGTTATTCCTCATTTTTTCTTTGTTTAAATGTATTTGGTACAGAGTCTCACTGCGCAGCTCAGACTCATAATGATCCTCCTGTTTTCAGCCTTCCCAGCGCTGGGATTACAGGCGTGCGCCGCCGGGACTCGGTGGCCGGCTCTGCGCACCTGGGGGCGGGGTCGGCGTAGCGTGTGGTGTTGGGGATCAGACCCCAGTCCCTGTGCTCGCCTAAGCAGGCGGTTAGTCGGCTGAGCTATCTCGCTTGCTCTTCCTCATTTTTCTGTTCGAGAAAAAGCTAAGTAAAGAGTGCACAGAAAATATACTAGCTGTTTGAGCGTGTTTTGATTGCGCAATAGTGAGCAGCTGGGTTTTTTTTGTTGTTGTTAGAAAACAGATGCTTGATATGAAGCATATACTTAGGTGGTTTCTAATGCGAAGACTCGGTTGTTCTTGACCTGTGCAGATACATCGAGGAGTGAAAGGATTCGTCCGAGACCTGCAGGGTAACCCACTCGCGAACGCCACCGTCTCCGTGGAAGGCATAGACCACGACGTCACATCTGGTGGGTGTTCTTTGCTGCACTCCACAGGTTCCAGCCTTGTGTCCAAGAGCGTATTTAATAATAATCGTAGTTCCAATTCTTACGCTATTGTAAGTAAAGCAACTGAGCGCTTGGTCTCCTTCCTCAGCACTTGCCCGAGGTCTAGACCCCAGGCGAGGTCCAGAGTTTCTGCAGGCTGGCAGGTCCAGAGAGGGCTCTGGCAGGGGCTCGGGCTGCTGCTATGTTTCAGTCAGTGTGCAGCAGGGGGTGCCTTTGCCAGGCCACCTTGCAGGGCTGTGCAGGATCCTGTCTGGTTGTTTAAGAAAGTTAACTCCTTGCAAATCGTATGCTTAGGAATTCAACATACTTCTTTCCTTAACCCATACCATAAACCCACAGTGACTCCAGGTGAAACAGGGTTGAGGTGTGACATCATGCCAGTTCTGGCAGGTGACAAGCTGGTGTTCATTTTCTCAGTTTGGGAAATGTGAGGTATTTTCCTGTAAATCTGCCAATTCCTGTTAGACCTTGATCCAACTCATTTTAGTTAAACTGTCACTTACTGGGATCTTTACAACAACAATAATAACAGTGGCTTTCCAGCTACCAAGTTTTGCAATAGTGTAGGCTTTGTGAATTATCCTTTAGCTTATCTTCCAAAACATTTTATGTCCTTGTCTTTCCTGACCTCCATACTTCTAGCTTGGATTTATTATTTTTTTCTTTAACATTTTTTCCTCTAAAGCTTTATTTGTTCATTCATTTAACAAATATTTATTAACAAATATTTATTGGTGTCCCGCTAAGAGCCAGCGCACCTTCCCAACCAACACTGCAGTCTCTGTCATAATAGAGCTTCTCTAAAGCTTTGGGATGGTGGAGCCCAAGTTCAGATGACCCCGGCCGTTTGCTGTTAATCTTGCTTTCTCTGCTTCCCATGATGCAAAGAGCGTGAAGAGATCTAACCCAGGGAATCAGTAGGTAGATGTGATTTCTGAGGTGCGGGCTCTAGGACTCTCTAGCTTATTAAGGGAAGGACAAGGGGAAGGAACTAGCAAGACAAAAGAAGTCTAAGGTAGAAAGAAAAATGAATGTGTTGCTCTGGATGTCTACAACACTTCTGACAGGAAGAGCGAATCACTTGATTATCCATGTGGAGACTCAACAAAGCCCATTCAGGTGGAGCAAGCAGCGATGGCCACGTTGGCGCAGGCCCAAGAGGCAGTAGGAAGCGACCATTGGTGCTAGAGAAGGCTGACGGATCTTCCAAAAATATTGCTGTTAGCGTAGAGGACACGTGTGGCACTAGCAGGAAGGAGATGTGGGGGCTAGACGTAGGCTGGGATGTGGGCCTTGGAGCTTCATTTTTTTCCCCCCTGATGGTATCTCTTTTCTCAGAGAAATAAGATGGAAGACATCAGTAGAGGAGAAGATGATGAGGATGTATTAGGGGTGTTGGTAAAAGGGAGAAAGCATGAATTGCCCATGAGAACCTTTAAGATGAACGTGTGGCCTCTCCTCACCAGCTTTAGCATCACCCTGAAGATTGGACACACAGAATCTCAGGGCTCAGGAGTCAGATTTTGTATTTTACCAGGTTTCTTAGGTTACTGCTGTGTGCCTAAGCTTGAGAAGTCCTGATTTAGGAAAACTACTGATTGAATGGACCAGAGCGATATAGAAGAAAGGCATTGTGACCTGTACCAAGCTGGTGTTTATGAATTAGAGACCAAGCAGCATGGGTGTGTATCTTCTCAGGCTCTGAGCAGCCACGTGGAAATAGGCATAGATAATTGGAAATCATCCAAGGCCAGTGGTTTTCTAGATGTGCATGTGCCAGGGAGCAGCACCAATGGGTAGAGACACACATGTGAGCCTGCTGAGTGGTGGGCTGCGGAAGCCCACGTAGGGTAGGGAGGAAGCTGGGAAAGTGAAAGAGGTGAAGCCATAGCTCTTCACAAGAATTCCCTGGAGGACTGTTGAAAATGCACTTTGTAGAAGGCACTTCACACCAAATCTTTAAAAATGTAAATTCTGATGAGGCTACCTTGAAACATTGATGTAGATTCTTAGAACACCGAGTCTTCCTCTGGCAACAATCAAAGTGTGGCGCCAGGTGTTCTGAGCCCTGTAGAGGGACTTTATGCATCTTTTTACTACTGACAGGAGGAGAACACCCATGTCTTAGAAGTGTTACTGGACAGTTTAATGTTGATATCTGTAAAATGGCTTTAAGAAACGAGACCGGTAGTGGAAGCGTCACACTCCCATAGAATTGCATCAAATTTCCCATGAATATGCTTTATTTTTTCAATGTTAATAATTAATAATTATGCTGATACATTATATGACTAAATTATTATGAATTTCCAAGCATTGTGCTCATTGTTCCATGGGAATTTCTCACTGGCTTCACCAGAACTTTATAAGACAGGAGGTAGCTCTATTAAGTTTTGACAGAAATGGCATAAAATAATCTGTTCAAATCTCAGAGCTAGCTCTTTAAAAAGTGAAAGATTTGTAGGACCTGAAGAGAAACCAGAGTATTGATCTAGCTCTTTACAGGAGGGAAATTTGGTGCATTTCACCCCCAGAATTCACATCCTTGCTTGTAATATTGCTTAGGTAAATGGAAATAACATTAATTGAGAATGGGATGCACTGGAGATTACAGTGCTCTGTAAAAATTTTTTAAGGAGAAGTTTTTAAAAGATCCAAAATGTGACCATACCATCAATTAATATTTGCATGCAAAACAAAAAGAGAAAATATCCATTTTTCAAATATGTTGCTATAAAAAAGTTACTAAGAAAAAGTAGGCTTAATCCCTCATGCATAGAAAAGTAAAATTAATAACTATAAATAATTCAGAGTTTAAATTTCTTTTAAAATTTTTTTATTTTTATTTATTTTTTTATGTATTTAGTGCAGGATCTACAGGGTCTCACTACACAGATGGGCCTTGTGGTAATCCTCCTTTTTTTGTGCTAGGATTACAGGCATGTGCCACCATGCCCAGTCTCAATTGCCATCTCAGTGTGCCCCATGGGTGGGGCCAGCACAGCTCCCCATGGATTGAACCCTGGTCCCTGCATCTGCCTAAGCAGATGCTTTAGTCCGCTGAGCTATCTGGCCACCCAATTTTTTTTATTTTTTAAAGAGAGTACAAGATAGTATTAAAACAAAAATTACAAGTGATATCGAATTTCACTTGAAATAATATGAATTTCACAGTATTTGTTGCAAGGCCCATGTATATGCTTTAAAAGTAAGGGCCTGGTGAGGCTGAGCTGAGCCGGCGGGTGTTCTGTAGATCACCCGTTCTGCGTTTGCATCTGCTGCACTGTTGTGTTGCTCACAACAATGCTTTGTTTTCCTCCAGCAAAGGACGGCGACTACTGGAGACTTCTTGTACCTGGAAACTATAAACTCACGGCCTCAGCCCCAGGCTATCTGGCAATAACGAAGAAAGTGGCAGTGCCCTACAGCCCTGCGGTGGTGGTAAGTAATCTCAGTAACCAAGGACTGTGATAATAGTAAGCTAATAATGATTTGCACCCACCACTAGCAAGTCTACTTAAGTGACATATTCAATCTTCATAATACTCCCCCCCCGAATAGTTTATTACTGTTCCCACTTGACATCTGGGTAAACTGAAGCCTAACAAAGTGAAACGATTTGCCCGAGGTCTCATTGATGACGTAATACCATGTAACATGAAGAGTTGTTACCTTTCCTCAGTTTTTGAAGAGCTTTACAATAAAACTTGAAGACAGTGCATTTTTATATACTAACCTTGGTTTCAGTGTAAATGGGACTGTGGTGCAATTGTCTTCCCATCTCTAGCACTTGGTATAGTGCCTTAGCCAGTAAACATTTTTTAAAAATCAGTGATGCCTGAAGGTACTTTTAAGAATTAGCCAAGCGTTGATTACAAACACACAATGAGCTGAGTGTTACCAAAATTCTGTTTCTTGTCTAAGTCGATACAATTTATTTTGTCAAGAAAGCAATGGCAATGATAACACATTTTATTTAGGGCAGAATTTTGCTATCATCTATGTATTACGTTATTGGGATTACATACAGTGGCCTGTAGGCTTTCTAATCAAAAGGCTCACTTGAGAAAATTTTATTGTATTTTTCTTTATGTACTTGAAGTTTAGAGTACAAATGCCTGGTTTTATACACAAAAACCTGGAGTTTTAAAACAGGTATTTTGACTTTGTCTTTGGGTGTGTGTGTGCATGCGTGCGTGCATGTATGTGTGTGTGTGTGTGTAAGGACTATACATGTATTAAAATCAGGAAGTACATCTGGGCAAATGAAAGCTGGAAAAAGGTATCTCTAGGAACGGGCTGAGAAAGGATTAGCTATTTTGTTTCTGAGTCTTTCTAGCGTGCTGTAGTCTGATGGTACAGCCAATGTAACTGCACTTTAAGGTGACCAGGGCTCCGGGCATGACACCAAGGAGCTCTCAGATCCATCTACAGTGGGGACTAGAGAAGGACTGGGTTGGGGGCTGCACATTTAGCCTTGTGCTCTGCAGATTGTGTGGCTGCCCATAGACTTGACCCTCCTGTCTACATGGAGAGCGAGCGGGGTGTACTTCTGTCAGTTTCTTTAACGAATTTACAATTCTGGAAAGCAGAGCCAAGCACACTGGGACATCAGCGAAATGAACGCTATTTTGTATTCTTCCACATCACAGGAGGAAATTCAAGCCTGAAGGAGGAGCTCATGAGATAGCCAAAGGCAGAAACTTATAAGTTACATATATATTTTTTAAATGAAGGATATAGGGGCAGGGAATTTCATTGTGCTATATCTGTCTTTAAAGCTGTTAGATTGAAGCACAGTTCAAACACCATGGCTTTTAAGCTTTCACCTTGGATGCATATTGTGTTTAGCATGAGAGGTTTTTTGCCAGATCTACTTTAATTCAAGTGGTTAGATCGATTTCATTCTTTAAGCTCTAAAACTATTCTTATTTGTAAGATTTGTATTTTTTTTAAATACAGTTTGATAATCATATACTCTTGATTTTTTTTTTTTTTTTGGGATAGGTCGATTTTGAACTGGAGTCATTTTCTCAAAGGAAAGAAGAAGAGAAGGAAGAGTTAATGGAGTGGTGGAAAATGATGTCTGAAACTTTAAATTTTTAAAAGGCTTCCACTTAGCTGCTTTCAATCTATCTATATGATGTAGAACAATGTAATGTGGCCACTTTATTTTAGATTTTGTGCAGTTACTATTTCACATGGATTTATTTTTAATCATTTAAGTATTAATCGATATTACTTAAAATAAATAGACTCTTAGGTAAAAATATAAGAACTTGACTCATTTCATTCTCTTATATAGCATTCATTTCCCTACATATATTAGACAAAAGACTGCAGAAAAGATCTAAGTATCCTTGCCAACGTAGGTCCCGATTCAGTATTGCAGGTGTTATTTGTAATACAAAACTTTTTGGCTAATTCTAGCTTTTAAAAATTAGTGAAGTTCTTTTAATGTAATCGGTGACAGCGTCACATAATGAATGTCATTGAAAAAGTCAACAGCTGTACCTTTGGCATTGTGAGCTCTCTATCGTAAGAATTAAATAGTTCAATACACATTGTCATTTGTCTCTTGTGTTGACTAGCTTCATAAGCATGATCCTGGTAATGCATTTTTGATGGGAAGAAAATGTACATCTCTACCAAGAGATTTTATGAACACAGTGGAGCTTGACTTGCTTATAAATATGGGGGCAGTGGTGTTATGTTAATCAGTCTGTTAACACTACTTCAGAGTTTGGGGTTCTCTGTTGGTTATAGATTGGCCCAGAATTGCATTCTGAATGAATAAAAGTTAAAAAAAATATATCCATCGTGTGCATTTAATTCTCTATGATGTTTGGCCTAAAATTGTGGTCTATGTGAAAAAGTACTTCCTTGATAGGCATGTGTCATTTCTTCTGTACTCCGCATTATCTTATACACTTTAATACTTACTGATTGCTGTATGCCAGTTGGTATGTAAACTATGTACATTACTGTGATGGATGAAAGGTTCCATGTTTATGAATCTCATGGGTCAATCGTGGACACAGAATTTAAATAAATATACATACAAGTTAATATAGAATTATGCATTGTGATGAATGAAATGAAAGAATAAAGTTCAGAGTGAAAGAAGGACTAAGCAACTGCAATTGGATCGGATGGAGGGAGTCGGGCATGGCATTCTAACCCACAGAAGCTCAGAATGAAATATGAATGAGCGAAGCCGTGCAGCTTTCGTAATAGGAGACCCTTTGATGTGTAATGGCGTATATACAATGGAAATTTATTTCTTGCTCACGTACCTGTACTGGGAAGAAGACAGAAAGATAGCGTAGGTTTTCTGTGCAGTCTGTGACCGCATTCTGGGACCCTTCCGCTAGGCAATCTGCCATCTTCTGCACGTACACACCACGTTGGCATTGGTTGCTAACGTAGCTAGTGGGGGAGGGGAACTTGCATGGAGCATCACATGGAGGCATTTTTATCAGGAGGCTTGGGAGTGGTGTGTATCCTGCTGCCCACAGCCTACCCGAGGCTTGTTTTCCCTGGCTGCGGTGGCTGCAAGGGCTTCTGGGAGATGCAGTCCTTCAGGGCAGCGGGGTAGGCAAGGAGAAGGTGTGGACGCTGGTGAACATCTGACAGTCCCTGCCAGAAGAAAGGAACGAAAAGTGCAAAAGCGTCAGAGCGGGAGACAACGTGGCTTGTTGGGGAACCTAAACAAAAGGTTACCTGAGGGGAGAGATGTAGGAGGTGGGGAGTAAAGCCCAGAAGTAGACAAGGACATGGTCCTGCAGGATCTTCCAGACTAGAATGAAGGGTTTAGGATTTTGGTCTACAATCACTGAAGCCAGGACGTTCCGTGACTTAATTGATACTTTAAAGATCATTGTGCAGCTATGCATAGCGGTCAGGTAGAAATCTCTTGCAGGGCTCCAAAAGAGAGGCGACGTGGGAGTAAGAAGAACAGGTCAGACTGAGCTCTGAGAACTTAAAAAGTTTGCTTTCTGGACATATTGGCACAGACCTGAAGCCCAGCACTCTAGGAGGCTGGGCAAAAGGGTCACAAGTTCAAGCCCAGCTAGCTGATTGACTTGGCAAGACCCTTTCACGAAATATGCAACATGCTGATGGTGTGGATCATCACGAAGGCCCTGGCACAAAAGTTGCTTTTTAGAGGTTTATATAGGTCAGGATATGGAGAGCTTCACCACTACAATAGGTACCCCCAAATCTCAGAGACAGTATGACATGATTTATTGAACATGGAGTCTGTAGGTCCATATCACTCTCTGGGAAGTTGGTCCCACCTGCAGTAACTCAGTGTAGGGTCCTTCCTCCTGTGGTGTTATCATTTTGATGCAGGGTTCCTTCCTTCTGTCTTCCTCATAGGAAGAAGTAACTGGAGTCGCTTCTGTGTAACTCCTTGGCCAGAACTTGTTGCTCAGCCTTGTTAGTTGAAATGCTTGGTGAGCAGCACCCTCCCTGCTCTGGTCTTCCTTCCTGGTGGCCAACAACTATACTCCTTTTTCTAAATAGGAGGTTCAATCTACTATTTGTTGGGGGTGAAGCCGTCTGTATGTCGGATATCTAGGACGAGGTCATTGCTTCCCATGAGTTTGGCAGGGCTCATTGAGAAGTGTACACAGCTCAGGGAGCTGACATGCAAAGGGACTTGGCCTCCCCTGAGGTAGCATCGACAACTTCTCTCTTGTTCCCCATGTAACCACCAAGGCATGGTGTCTTGTTGAGGATTAGATGTTCTTCCAGTTCTGGGTCTTACTCTCCCCCCAAAATTCTCTGTAAAGAGCCTCATAGGCTGATTGTATAGATAAACACACTGTGGTTGTTGGCAGTCCTTTCTCGTATCAGGCTTTCAGTTTTGGGACCTGCAGGGGAGGCCATGGATGGTCTCTATACCAGGTTTGTGTGTAGCCACTCCTGCCCCAGAGAGTAATGGACTAAACAGACAGGTTTCTTGTACCCTTCAGGCCCAGTGCACGGGGACAGCACAACACCTGCAGCACTCCTGCCCCTGTGGAAACCAGAAGGAGCACTTGCTGGTTTGCAGCAACTCTGTAATATTGCTCAGCAGGACCTGTGTTTTGGGGGAAGAAAATGTTTTGTTACTGGTTTCAGGATCGATTCTCCCATTTCTCTTCTGTTTGCCATGACTCTACTTTCTTGAACTCTTTGCCTTTGTCATGGAGAACCTGGAATCTGCACTATCTTTTTTTTTTTTTTTTAATTTTATGTATTTGGTACAGGGTCTCACTACACAGATTAGACTTGTAGTGATCTTCCTGTTTCAGCCTCACCAGTGCTGGGATTACAGATGTGCACCACCACACCTGGTCTTAATAGCTAGCTTGGCACACCCAGGGCAGGGCCAGCATGGCATGTGGACTGGGATCAAACCCAGGACTTTGAAATTGCCTAGTCAGGTGCTTAGACCACTGATCTGTCTCCACGACCCTCAATCCCCTACACCCTTATTTTGTGTCACCACAGAAGAGTGACTGGAACTGAGTGGATCTCTTGTCATGTTAGCCTGGAGGTGACACCTGGCAGCTGTGCCCCTGTGTCCCTGTGGCCCAGTGCCATAGGCTTGCCTAACTGGACAGAGTTCAGTTGACATGGGGAGACAAATAGGGCATGCACTGCTACCACAGGGACACACACACAGCAAGCAGCCGGCCACTCAGCTGATGAGAGAGACTTGTTGGCTGTGTGCAGCCTGCCTGGCTGTCATGGTTCCCAGTATACCTACTGAAGGCTCAGTTCTGTGCCCCAAGAAGGACACTCCATTTCCAGCTGAGGGAGCTCTGTGCGAATAGCACTCTCCACCTCCAGGCCCTGTGCACACCCTGTGCACACCCTGTGCACGCACTCACTTCTTCCCATAGAGAACTTGGTTAACTCATTCTTAGCTGGTGCTTTATGTGCTGCTCAGGTGGGGTAACCCTATCTACAGACCAGACAGGTCTCCTTTCCATGGAGCAGACGCCTGTCCAGAGGCAGCTCCGGCTTGCCCTTGGGGCAGAGGTAGGCTTCGTGTGTGTGTGTGTGTGTGTGTGTGTGTGTGCGCGCGCGCGTGCATGTGTTTGTGTTTTTGTGTGTGCTGGGATAGAGGAAGAAGTGGGTAGGCACAGGATACTAAGAGGCTCTTTGGTCCACAGACCTAATGTCATTTTTTTCCAGTAACTTCTGTCTGTTGATTTCCGTTATCTTTCTTTCTTTTCTTTTCTTTTTTTTTTTTTTTTTCCGAACCAAGGATTGAACTCAGAACCTTGCACTTGCCAGGGAAGCACTTATCCTACTGAGCCATCTCCCCGGCTCTTCTGTTATCTTTCAAAAGGTTCTGAACACAGGCATGAAAGAAATGAGCACTTCATACTGAATATCTAAATTCCTTAAGAGTTATAATACTTTAAATTTTAGTTATGGCCTTTTTTTCTCCTACTGTGTTCCTCAATACAGCTCAAGGTGATACTGAGGTTTTTGGGGAGATATGTTGTACTGTTATTTCATAGAATTTTTTTTTCATTTATGTATTTGGTAGAGGGTCTCACTTTGCAGCTTGGACTGGTAGCGATCCTCCTGTTTTCAGCCTCCCCACTGCTGGGATTACAGCCATATGCAGCCACACCCATACTCAGTTGCCAGCTCAGTGTGCCCTGGGGGTAGGGCTGGCACAGCATTTGGGACTGGGGATTGAACCCTGGTCCTTGCTCTTGCCAAAGCAGGTGCTTAGTCCTCTGAACTATCTTGTCAGCTTACAGACTGCAATGGAGGATTTAGGATTTTGTTCTTAGAATCATGAAGCTGGGAAGGTCCAAGATCTAACTGCTATTTTATTTATTTATTTTTTGTGGAACTGGGGATTGAACTCAGGTCCTTGCGCTTGCCAGGGAAGCGCTTATTCCACTGAGCCATCTCCCCGGCCCTCTAATTGCTATTTTAAAGATCATTGTTGCAGCTATGCATAGCAGTCAGGTAGAAATCTCTTTTGGGGCTCCAAAAGGGAGGCAACATGGGAGTAGGATGAATAGCAGGTGAGGACCGAGCTCTGAAGGATTTTTTTTTTTTTGGGTTGACTCAGAATGCCTTCAGGGCATGTTTGACTGGCTGGAGTTGTGGGGATCGAACCACAAAAACTTGAGGCTGATTGCTTTGTTGAAGCAGCCACTTAAACAACTGAGCTAAGGGGCAGGCCCCAAGGACCGAGCTCTGAGAACTGAAAAAGTTCACATAAACTTAAAGGAAGTGAAAGCTCTCAATTAGGAATTTTGATTTGGTTTGTAATTGAAGGTAGAGGATGCAAGTAGATGAAGGCTTTGGAAGCTGAGGGATAAACAGGATTTTGAACAGTGGCGTCAATTTGGTTTTGGTGACAAAAATTAGAAAGGGAGGGTCCTGGAGACTTGATTTTAATGAAATAACACATTTTGAACTTAGCTTTCATTCCTCCTTGACAGTGAAAGCCAGACTTATAGACCAGACGTATTACTATGGAAGAGTAGCTAACCTTAACTTGTGGAAAATTTTCACATAAACAAAGATAAGTGTTATTTACAGAAAAGGAACTCTGAACTTTGGTATTCATATTTTGTTCTTACAGTCAATCTGTGAAATCGGTCCATGATTTGATGTGGTGGGAGTCTAAAAAACCAATCATTTTTTCCAACATATTAACTCAATTTCTTTTGCCAAAATTCTCATGCGTATTGTCTTCTGTGGTTAGGATTGGATGGCATTTGGAGTTTCTGCGTCAAAAATGTCAAGATAGAGTATGCTCAGCCTTTTATACCTCACCT